GCTGGCTCTGAGCACTGCATTCCTGAGGTCACACCTCACCCCTGTTACCCCCGTTCTCCTGGCTGGGAGGCTGTCTAGGGGATGGCCCCCTTGGAAAATTACCTCAGCAAGTCCTAACTCCTCTCAGGGCCTCCTTCAGGATAAACCGGTTCCTCCCAGTTCGTTGGCCCCACCCTTCAAGTCTGATCCTAGAGTGCTCTGGTGTTTCTCAGTACAGTCAGTACAGTCTAATCTGAGGGAGGAGGCAGCTCCTCAGAATCCTCAGTACCTAGAGGGAGGGAGTCAGAGGCTTGTACACGGGAGCTCTGAATATGTGGGAGGAAGCCTCACTCAACCCTTAGGAACCTCTAATGAGAAGGGAGACAGCCTCAGGTTCAGGGACTGCCAGTCTGATGGAGGAGACCTTTGCTACCATCAGGAGGCTCTGTGAGCTCTGTGAGCATGCCCCGTGCTCAGCACAGTGACCCCTAGTTTACCATAGTAGGCCCTACCACCTCAACTGTGGGCGGTAGCCAGAATCGTAACAACACTGCCACACCCTGAGGCAACAGGAAACTCATATTCCTGACACGCCCTTGCTTCTGGTGAGAAACGGGCATGCTGTGGCTGCCACTGTCTCCATAACGGTTCCCTCTTGTTCTGGGACCCATGCCAAGCAGGCCCACAGTGGTTGGTACGGGGCAGGCCCTGCCTGCCTCTGCTGGGCCCTGAAGTACTGTAGTTGGTCCAAAGTTCAATGTCCCCTCCAGAAGCCTGGCTTACAATGGCCAACAGTCACAACATTGTCCTGTTGTCACCATACCCCAAAAGCCTGGAAGTGACAAAGACACAGAACCTTTCTCCAATCTACAAAACAGGTTGATGCCAGTAACAGCTCTCCAAAGTTCATGGTCAAGATTAAACAAAGACAACACTGTCAAAATGATAACACCATGTTGAGACAAGGTGCAATGTGGCTGGTTTTGTGTGTGTGTGTATGTGTGTTTGTTTTGTTTTGTTTTTGTTATGGCGGAAGCTTCACCCCATGGATTTTTGGGGAGGGGGTTGTTTGTTTGCTTTGGTTTTTAGAGACTGGGTTTCTCTGTGGCTTTGGAGCCTGTCCTGGAACTAGCTCTGTAGACCAGGCTGGCTTTGAACTCACAGAGATCTGCCTGCCTCTGCCTTCCCCGGCTCATGGCTGGTTTTCTGGGTTTGTTTCAGTGGGGAATTCTTTTTTCCTGCTTAGAATCCAGTCCCCTTTCTTATCTGGGGAGCAGGAAGCACATCTGTGTTATGTTAAAAGCTGGCATTGGTCCCAGCCAGTTGGAAGCAGGGCTATCTCCACCTCTGTCACTCACATGCTTGTCCTCATGTCAAGGAAGACGCCGGTGCCACAGGGCAGAACACTCAGGTGCCATAGGTCAAGGTCGGGATGACTTGTTCATGGGCAGTAGCCAGGCCAGTGCCCACTGAGCACCCTATTACCTTACACCCACAGAAGCCAGTTTCCCATAAAGGCACCTTGTTCACAACTGGGAGCCACAACCTTTTCTGAAGTCTACCTCCCTCCTGAGCCAGATTCTCCAGGAGTTTCTGTGAGCAAGTTGGTGTCTCTCCAGTAAGTACCACCAAGAAAGTAGCCTGAATGTTGGGGAAATGGAGGAAGCAAAGATCTGGTCTAGTCGGGGCAGAAGAGAAGTCCACCACACATCCAAGGGCGTGAATCTAATGGCCTGGAGTGTGTAGTGAGTGATGAAACAGCCAATTAAATGACATTTAATCTATTAATTAAATGGTGGCCTGTGGCCATCTGGGAGGGGAAAAGTACCCTGGAGGACTGAGGACCTGAGTCCATACATCCTGTGGAGTGCAGGAGAATTTTGAAGGCAGATTCTGTTTCTGTGACACCAGTGTGGGGGCGGGGGGAAGAATTCAAGGCATCAAATCCATAGCTCCAGTCTATGCCTGGGGCTGAGAAACACTTTATGTAACTGGGCTAAAAATTCTCCTGTCTTTTTCTGCCACTGGAGTGGTTTGTGGAAAGCCAATGCAAAGTCAGATCCCTCCCTCGAGGGGGCATAATCCAGAGGTGGCTGAGCCCACAGCTTCTCACTCCTCTGCCAGCTGTATGCAGGCAGACGGCCGGGCAGCCCTGGGTCTCTCTTATTTGTGGCCCTATGATGTGTGGAGTACATTTGGCTGAAAATAACAGAAACTGTGAAGCCCAGAGGGAGGTGGGCTCCTGGCACCCCACAGTTCTGCTAGGAGTTGTCTCTCATTTCTGCTGCTCTCCAGCCACGATGGTTGAAATCATGGGGCACTGAAGTCAGCTGCCCTTGGATTATGAGGGCGGTGTGCCAGTGCATTCTACCCCACGGGGATGGGGGTGTTCTGCCTATAGCATGAAATAAACTACAGCGGGCATATTTGCACCAGGTGCCGCGTGGCTGGCTTCCTAAGGGGAAGCATGGAAGCATGGGCCACCAACTGCTTCTGTGCCCGGGAGAGGGGCAGGAGGCCCTGTGCTGACCACGAAGCCAGGTCTTCTCCATTTTGTTGTCTTGGTCACGGCAGGATCTGCCCTGAAGCCAGGATGTGTGCTGCTTCCCCTGAAGGGTCAAAGGTGCAGAACCACACTAAGGCTCTTCAATGAAGAAAGATGAGCTGGAGGGGACAGGCAGCAGCTAGGGTGACACCTGCTTGGGTGGCTCCCCCACACCTGCAGCTTCCCTGGTATCTTTGAGCTTCAGAGTGACCACGTAAAGGGACATCACCACATGAATGTCAGCACCTGGCCCTGGCCACCACACAGTATTCCGCCCCACGTGCTATGCAGACATTAGCTCAGCTCCTCCACACAGGAGCCTTGTGAGGTGGTTTAGTGTTACCCTCACCCACAGGTGAGGGAAAGGAGGGGACAGGGGGACGAAGCTTAAAGTAACTTTCCACAGCCACTCTGCTGTGGAGCCCGGACATAAGCCACCTGGCCCCAAGTCTAAGCTTTGACCCTGCTGTGTTCTGCCCCTCCTCCCTGTCTGAGGTGATGCTTCACTGTCATCCTCACCCACACCTCCTACAGTCCCTCCCCTCTTGTCTACCTACCACTCAGCATTCAGGTCTCTGTATAGTTATCCCTGTGCAGACTCCAGTCAGTTCAGGTACCTCACCTCTGGGTGCAGTGACACCGCCTCCCATACCATCTGTGTGAACATCTGTCTTCTAGCCTGTTCTCTCTGTAATCATGTCTTCTAGTCTGTGAACTCGGTGTCCCTGGATGACAGGAAACAGGCCCCATACTGCATGACCACTGCTCTAGCCAGGAGGCTTGGCCCCTGGTAAAGAATAGACGATGCCCAGTCCAGGGCCTCCCCTGCCCACTGTCCGGCTCCTGTGCCTTGGTGGCCACACCTGCTCCAGACACTGTGCAATCTTGCAAGCAGGTCCCTGCAGCCCTCCACACTGCACTTCCCCAGCTGCGTCTACTTCACAGGCCTGGCACGGATCTCCTCACCTCCGCTCCCAGCCTCCTTCCTGTTTTACTCTTTTATTAAGATTCTAATTAAATAATTCTAATTAAGTGTAATGAGCTGAATCGACAAACTTGTAGCAATAAAGCGGCATTCGGGACGTGCTCTGCCCTCGTCTCAGGCAATGGCAGTGCAGGGTGAGGGGCCCTGCTGCTGGGGGTGACTCCGTGCCTGGCTCTGACCACCACCCTCACAAGGACACCACTTGGCCCAGCTGAGGCCTCCCTTCTATTCTCTGCTATAGTAAAGTCTCCCAGCTCCTAGGGATGATGAGCACTGGCCTGTCCCACACTGGTCCCCACTCAGGCTCCTGACACCTGTGTCTGAGGGCACCAGGTATCCCAAGACTCCTGGCTCGGAGCCAGGCTCTGCTAACCATGCAAACATCTGAAGAGGAACTGTCTATCTCCCTGCCTGAGGTGGCCTTTCTGTGTCTCTCCCAATCTGGACACCTTCTCAGTTTTTAACAGCAGGCTGATGGGAGTGATAAAGACACCACCACAGAGAGAAGGGGATATGCAGTTACACCCAGCCTTCCTCTGGGACTAACCCCTTCCTGCCTGTGGGACCCCAGCAAGGCACTTCATCTCTGTCAGCTCTAATGACAGCTGCCCTGATCTAAAGCCCCTATCAGCCAATCTTCGGGTTCAGGGTGCAGCATCTCGGGCTGCTTGCCTTTTTCCGCTGAGGGACTCAGGCGTTTACCTCTCTGGGTCCCAGCTGCTTCTGTGACATGAATGGAAACAGTACCCACTACAGAGGATGGGCCTGAAGGCTGGATGACTCATTTCCACATGTAACTATGAGGTAGGTTCCCATTCTACAGGTGAGAACACTGAGCCATGGTTTGACTAAGATTATAGAAACAACGAGGAACAAGAATAGGATATGAACCCAGAACCCTTTGGCTCCTACCTGGTTTTGCCTCAACTGGTTTTGCTGAAGTCCTGGACTTCCTGTTCAGAAGTCTGACTCACTTAGGATTGGCAGAGCCCAAACATTCCAGTCTTCCCCAACTGGGAAGTGAGGGTCCTGCTCCAACCCGGGAACCTGGGGTGGGGGGATGGATGGCAGCCTCTGGTTTTAAGACTTTGCACCTAGGCCTCCCTGCTAGGCTGTGAGACTCCCAGGGATTCAACACTAAAGTCCTCCCAGGAGCCACCTACTACAGCCCAGAGGAGACCAGACAGCTGTAGTTGGCGCAGTGATACACACCTCTACCAGCAATCAGGAAGCGGACAGTTCTCATGAGTTCCAGGCCAGCCAAAGCTACATGGTGAGATTCTGTCTCAAAAGAAGAAAAAGGAAAGAAAGAAAACACAACAGCTCTGAGGAAAGCATAGCATGGAAAGACATCCCTGATTCTGTCCTTCTACACAAGCAGGTGCCCACAAGCATGGACACACAGGGGTATCTGTGTCTCAACTCTCATACATGTGCCCCATTCAGGCACGTGGCTGTGGCACACGTGTGCCCGCATACACACCACACACGCTGATACCAGAACCTTTATTTGAAAACATGTTGAAAGCAAGATCTTTGGTCAGGACCTAGAGTTAGACCCACAGTTTCTGCAACGCAGCCCAGGAAGGGTTGTAGGGCTGCTGAGCTGGGAGCAATGAAGACTCAGTACCCCCCAACCAGTGCCTGCTGGGAGTCTATGGAACTAGGACCCCTCTGCTGCCACTGACCTGGGGCTGCCTGATCTCAGAGGGCTCAGAAACGTAAGCAGGGTCTACCCCTTCTGCCATGGTTCAGTCATAGCCACACAGTCAGGTAGTGCCCCAGCACCTGGCCATGGAGTGACTCAGACAGCACCCCCAACATCAGAGCTACCAAGCCACCGAGGGTATTCCCAACCTTTTTACTCCTTCTGAGGTCCCTTCACTCAGCAGCCCACCTGGAATCCCCTGCAACAACCCCACAACCCAGTTCTCCAATGTCGAGCTAGTGTAGGTAAGTCTGCATGACAGAGGACTTCCAGGAAGCATGCCCCCGCCCCTTGGACTATGAAGAGTCAAGAACAGAGGCCTCTCATCATCCAGAGACAAGGCCAAGCTGGTGATCAGCAGACACATACAGATACGTTGCCTAGCAGCATGGCCTTGTGTCCCAGCCCACACCTGTCCTGGCTGGAGGCTCCAAGCTGCCCAGCAGTACTGTGCTGGCATTTGGTCAAGGCTGTTCTTCTGAGCAGGAGCTCCCAGTAAGCAAGGTCATGGGCACTGAGTGTTCCCAGTGACCTGCAGAGGCAAGGACACTACAGGACACGTGGGATCTGAGTCCCAGGCCTGCAGTAACCTCTATGGTCCTCAGGGTCTTCACCTCACATTAGCTGACACTACCTACAGTCTCCATAACAGTTCAAACTGTATGGACACTACAGAGGGTTCCCTTCCTTCCAGCCCTCTGGCACTGGCATTTACTGTCCCTCCTGTGGTTAAGACACCCTTGTGCTGGCAGACTGGACACATGTCACCCAGGAAAGATGGGGCCTGATGTGGTGGGCACATGGTTCTGCAGAGTCCCATGTTGGACATGACCAGACCAGCGGCATGAGGGGGCAGCCAGCTGGGAAGAGGCAAGAGACTTATGCAGCTGGCACCTGTCACTGCTGCCTGTCGAGTCAGGGCCCCAGAAGCAGCTCCCAGGATAATTTACAACGCCCACTGCTGGTGCTGCTGGTCTGCAGAGTGGCAGAAGTAAGCTTTAGATTTAGACAGCCTGGGGTTCAAATCCCAGACCTAACCTCCTAAATGTGGATCTCAAGTCAGCTTGCTTATCTTTCCTGTCCCTCAGATACCCTATCTAAGAAGAGAGATTACATGAGATTCATCCCTACAATTTACAGGTCAGGGAGGCCCCAGAGGTCACCAAAACTAGATGGTGAAGATTGTACTGCCTAAGACACACTTTGGTTGTATGACACAGAAACCAAACTGAACGACCCAAAAGCTTCCTCCTTGTTGACTAGCTTTCAGTGCTGGAAGGAGCCATGCAGGCCACTGAGGGCAGAAAACACATCGGTAATGTGCACTCAACCCTGCATGCTCCATACTGATCCACCATGCGCAATGTGCCCACTGATACAACAGTGCCATTAAGGGGATGGGATAACCAATCACTTTTAGATTGGAGACCTGCTCTACAGGAAGAGGGTTAGGCCTGGTACTAAAACCCGGTCAAAAGCCCATGGTGAGGGCAATCACAGGCCCAGGGAAGAACTTGCTGTTTTGCTAAAGGACATGTTACCACACCACCTCTAAACACTTATGTTTATACCTATAGGTCAGTGCTGCCCTTAACCTTGGCCAGGGTGGCTTCTCTGCAGTGGTCAGCAGTTAATACAGTGAAATTCAATGGGTCAAAGTGTTGAGACAGTGCCTGGTGCCTTTCTCACAGCCCTCCCCGAGGATCAGGAACACTGGAAAAGGAGCACACAGCATGTTAAGCGCTAGGGGGAGAGGAAGAGTACTGTGGAATGCTCTTTCAGACAGGACATGGTCAACACATTCAAGAACCCACTGCATCTGTGGCTACCCACACAAGAGCAGGCCAAGTCCACTTCAACAGGCAGGACTACCTGGACTCAGCAGGCTATAAATAAAGGAAAAGGGGGGAAAGAAAGTGCTGGAGTTTGGGGTGTGGGGATTGGAGGGTTGAGCAGGGTGCACAGGACCAAGATGATGTTTACATGTATAAAATTGTCAAAGAATAAATCAAAGATTCAATTTTTTAAGTAGTTCTAAGACCACCTACCCACTTCCTAGTGTGCCAAGGCAGACTGACAATGCTGAGTCTGGGCACAGGGTCCTAACTGCAGCATAGGAGAAGGCAGAGCCAGGCCAGGCTCAAGCCTGCGACCCAGGCACAGAGGCTGAAAAGCCCTCGCAAGGTTTAATTGTGATGCTTCTCCTGGAGAGCCAACCCAATGTCTACCCAGAGGAGCTGAAGGTCACATCAAATCTGAAAGGTGGCTTTGTTCCTCCACTTCATCTGCTACGCATGAAAGAGCAGGCAGCTGGGCTCAGGATCCATAATTTGAGACATCCGGAGACTAAAGGCGTTGGCCAAATTTAAATGGAAGGATGAGCTTGTTGAGTGTCTTTTCAAATTATGGGGGAAAGAAGAAAGAATTCTTTAGTCCTCTCTGATCCACTTGGGCCTCACAGGGAGTCTGCTTGTCGGCTGGCATCAAAAGGCTCTGCCTCTGGACACTTGAAATAGGACTATTGCATAAATGCCCCAGACCCCCACAAGCCACAGGAAGGAGCAGTGGCTGGGGAGTCCCCAGACAGAAGTCCATGGAACTTGAGGAATGCAGCCTTGCTGGAATGGTCACTGTGAGTCTGGGCAAGACACGAGCAGCTGGATTATAACCATCTCTTGGGAAATTGCTACATGACAGGATGAGGGCTAGGGATATGAGACAGGGCTGTGGCCTTACCAGGCACTCAGGACAGGGCTACCTTCCTAGCTAAGCTCAGTGCCCTCAGCAGTAGGAACTGAATGGCATCTGGGCTCTCCATGACTTTTCTTAGTCAGCTGGCACGCAGAAAGTGCACTAAGAGTGGTACTCACTGTCTGAGTCCACTGGGACTTTACACATTAGATCCAAATGACCTTTTGCTCTGAGATAACCTGTAAGCCACCAGAGGTCTGAACTACCAATAACATGACAATGGTCAATAGTCTCAAAATCCAGGGACACAGGCACAGGAGTCTGCTGTGCCCTGTCTACAGACAGGAAAACCAAGGCTCAGGGAAGCAGGTAATTAACCCAGGGCCATAGCTGGACTTTGGGTCTCTTAAATCACTGATCCCCATCCTCTATCTCTGCCCCCTTCACACAAAGCCATACAACCTGAATTCACCTAGGCAATGTCATCCTTAGCACTGAGCTCAGGACCAGATCATGAGTAAGCAAGCCCGCAAGCCCGAGTCATTGGAGAGTCGTGGGAATACTGTCCCTGGGGAGGGGTGCACATGGGAACACTCACATCTCACACACTCAGCATCGACCAGGATGTAAGGTTAGAAACACTGTCAGTGCCGACACACTGGACCACTGGTGACCTTCCACACAGTGACAGTTGCAGAGAAAGGTACCCTGCTGGCTCATCAGCAGGGAACCTGCCATCACCCTCTATTCTGGTGCCACAAGGGCATGTGGTATACCTCAGTCTTTTGACACATATCATCAAAGGGCAGGAGCTATGACACTGCCCCTCATCACCAGCAACACCGAGTGATGCTTACACTTAAAAAATGGGAACATTTATTGTTTCTTTCTTAGAGCTGCCTTGCCAGCAGGCACAGCCTGTCAAGAACACAGCACCACCCAACACCATGGCAGCCCCTCACACTCAGGACCCTGGAGCTGGTTGGGGAAAAGGAGCTACCCTGATTCCAGGGAGGGTTCTCCAAGTACCCTCCCCAAGGCAAGGGTCTGACTCAGCAACTCAATAAGAGCTGGGAACTTTAAGTCACAGTGGTGTGCTTTTCCTGGGCCTACTGAGACCTGCTCTCACAAGCCCAGCCACTGGGGGCTCCTAGCAATGAAAAGATGCTTGTGGCTTGGCTGAGATTCAGGATGCCAGAGCCCATGAGACCAGCCAGACTAAGGACAGCTCACCACTAAACTGCCTGGCCACTGGGTGGGGTAGGGGGACTACTGGGGCTGCAGTGTCAGGAAGGGACAGCGAGATGCTTCTGGAGGATTCCATTTAACCCATGGAATCAAAAGACTTCAAAACATGTCTTCCCGGAAGCAGTGTGGCAGTTAGCAGGGCATGGAGGCCCACGCCAGCGCTGTGTGGAAAGGCACCAGATGGTTTGTTATGAAACACATTTTGGTCAGAAAATAGCTGGGGCTTTTTGGTTCCTGGGAGGACAACAAAGCTAGAGAGAAAGGAGACGTGGGCTGTGAGAAGTTGGCGGTACAAACAGCAGCTTTGGTATCAGATCTGGGTTCTATTCTCATCTCCATCCCCGACATGTGTTGCCTCAGTTTCCTTACCTGTAAAATGAATGAAAAGTATCCCGCCACAGCCTAGTGCTAGGCTTTGGTATCATTCCAGGAATTATGGAGAGGCAGAAGGTGGGGGCACACAGGACACACAGACAAAACAGAACAGAGGTGATCCCTGCGGTTGTGGTAAGACTCTGGGAGTCTGGGCAGCTGGTACACTAGGTCCTAGCACTATACAGATCACCTCAGGGACTGTGGCCCTCCTGTGGAGGGAGGGCAGGAGGCAAGCTCTCCCACAGCACCATCAAGGACCTCAAACCATGTCCATTATGGGAGATAAAGTGCAGAGCTATGTGTCTTTGGTCAGGTGCTGCCTCTCGGAGGGCCTTAGCTACCAGGCCCCAAAGAAGCAGAATTTGAGGATCCCAGCTTCCCTGAAGGCCATGTCCCCTCCAGTGCACAAATAATAGGCTCTCACTGCTTGAGGAGTAAGGATGCCCCAGAGAGAAGGAACACGGAATGCTTTGGTCACTGTCTTGACAGCCACAGGAGGGGGCACTGGCTCCAGGAAAGAGACCAGGAGGCCAGGCCCTGCCCTGCCCTGCCCTGCCCTGCCCTGCATACATCATGAGCGCCTGATGCAAACCTGGTTTCCAAGCATAACCCAGGAGTCACTGACTGGACACTGCAGGCTCTTCTTGCCCTCCCTCCCTGCCTGACTGTGCAGCTCTTGTCCGCAGGCTTTGCCATCAGCTCCTTGTGATGGCTGCTCTGCTGTAGGTGGCTTTTGGTCCATCACATGTCAAGGCCAGTTGTGTCCTGCCAGTCAGTCCTAGGCCCTCAGAAGCTGAAGAGGTCATCTCGATCGATGCCACTGCCGTCAGGCTTGTCCCAGTCGGTGGGCGATAAGCACTGCGCATAATGGATGTCCTGTGTGGACAGCCCAGTGTCCAGGACTTGAGGGTTCGTCCGTGACTGTGCCAGCCTGGAAGGCAAAGCTGTGTAAGCCAAGCAACAGGAGAAGGGCTAGCAGGGCTAAATGAACGGGCATAGCCTGGCCAGCATGGGGACAGAGGGAGGGGCCATGAGTGGGGAAATGGCCAGACTCAAAAGCTCAGCAGGGAAGCTAGAGCCCACCCCCTGACAGCAGGATGCCCAAGAAGGTCAGAGCCCTGGGGCCGGCCATGAGCCCTACTCTAACAGAGGCCAGTTGTAGGTAGGAAGTGTTCAGCCAGGAGAAGACACTTGGCATAACCAGGGTGAGCATGAGCTTCCCAATAGTCACACAAGGAGACTAATGTCCAGAAGAACCTGGAGAGGTCAGTACAGCGCAGCCCTGTCCTGGGGGACGGGGAGGAGGACAGGAGTCCTAGGGTGTGAACACCTGGAGGGAGGCCTCTGACGGCACTGAGCCCATGAAGAGTCCCCAGGGCTGTGAGCTGATGGATACAAGGGTGTTCATGGTTAGGTCAGCGGACACAGTGCCAGTCTGGGCCAGGGACTACACTACACAGGGATTTGTTTGAGACTGTTAGTAAGGACCCATGACAACTGAATATTCTGGAAAAGAGGATAAAACTGTTTTCAAATATGGGGCCGGACGTTGGTCCTCATGCCGGCGTTGGTGGCGCATGCCTTTAATCCCAGCACTCAGGAGGCAGAGGCAGGTGGATCTCTGTGAGTTCGAGACCAGCCTGGTCTCCAGAGCGAGTGCCAGGACAGCCTCCAAAGCTTTACAGAGAAACCCTGTCTCGAAAAACAAAAATAAACAAACAAACAAAAAGAACAAATATGGGTGGATTGGCCACTGAAGCAGAGAAGGTGAGTTAAAGGGCTGCTTCCTTGAGAAGGGCCTCACCTGCTTGCTGGTCAGCCCCTGGCTACAGCGGGAGTGGCTTGGAGGGGAAGGCCAAGGGGCTGCACATCCAAAGGGGACGAGGGAGGCCTGAGGGCCCAGACTCAGTAACAGGAACCCCAGTGGCCCAGTCCTTGCCAGCAGCCTTCCTCATGACATGCTGAAAATGACAAGCTGAGCCAGCATTCTGACTGAGCTGCAAAAGCATTCTCACAAGAGACACCCTGCAAAGGCTACGCTCATAAGTAGCAAGCTCCCTGTCCCTGATGAGATTCGAGAATTACTGTGTAGACAGCTAGAGTACTCAAGTTCTCAGTCAGAACAAAGGCGGAAGGGTATAGAGTAGCCAGGTCCAGCCCAAGGCCCATATCCCCAGCATAGGCCCTCAAAGGGTTACCTTGAAAATGCTTCATCCAGGCCATCGTCCAGCTCCTTAGAAAGAAAGCAAGAAGTAAGAACTCTGGGTGGGGCCATGTTTCCCAAGGGAGCTACAGGGACCCAGGACCTGTACGTGGGTTGTAAGGGAGTGCCTAGGGAAACTAGCATAGGCAGGCCTTATGCCCATGGACCCAAAGTTGGGACCCAGGACAAGAAAAGGCATGTCTCAGCTAGTCAGTACTGGCGTACATCTTTAATCCAAGAACTGGGGAGGTGGATCTCTAAGTTTGAGGTCAGCCTGGTCTACAGAGTGAGTTCCGGGACAGCCAGGACTACACAGATGAACCTTGTCTCAGAATCTCCTACCCCCCGACAAAAAAGGCATGTTTCAGACCTCTGAGACTTAGTTTTTCCTTCTGTAAAGTAAGGGACATGATTTCCACAGCTTTCTAGCCCCAAAGGGAAGGGCAGAGAACATTTGCCTGTACTTCCTTCATGCCTCAAAAGGCCAGCCACAGTCCTGTGCTATTTCAGGATAACCAATGTTAGGAACTCACAGCCTTGGAGCTAAGTGCCATGTGAAACCCCTCTGAGACCTTCAGGACACATGACAAATGGCAAAGGTGGACCTTGCCAGCAACGGACAGGTACAAGGGATACCCGGATTGCTCCCAACAGACAGGTGACCTGACAGTTGTCAGGAGTCCCATTATGTGAAGAGATAAATTGGCCTGGTGGCACAGGCTTGGGGTCACAGATACTTGGGAGGCTGAGGCAGGAGGATGCTGTGGAAAGTCGGGTGTCCTCCCTGAGGGAGTAAAAAGGCTGACACAGAGGTCAGGCACTGGCCATGAGTCCTGAGAGCCTGCAGTCCGGCTGCACATTCAGACAGCTGGGAAGGGAGGGGTGCCAGGCACAAACCTGCCATGCCTAGAACAAGGGAGCCTTTGCTGATTAGAGAGGGAAGGCCACAGACATCTAGATTCAGATTGAGTACTATGAGGAGATGGCCCGGCTGTGAACCAGGCCTGCTGGGACACAACCTTGGGCTCAGAGGGGACATTGTTCAGCTACTCCACCCAGGGCCTGATGGGCTGGATCTGGTCTTTCCAGAGGCCCATTTTTCAATGTCAGGGCCTGGGTGTGGGAACCCACTTCAGGCTTGTTCAGAGACCTGGCTAACACTGGATCCCAAAACCATGCCCAGGCCACGGAGCTACTCACCCAGACCACACTGCTGGTGCCCAAGACTTGAGGCCGCAGTGTCTCATCCATGTTGTTGGTATTAGTGGTGACCGTGGACAAGGGAGCCTTAGACACCTCTTCCAAATCCAGCAGGTTCCCAGTGGCAACCACTATGAGGGGTCAGTTGGGGGCATCAGGAGAACATACATTTATCTCCTCTAGCCTCTTCCAGACACATTCCAGTACCCTGTACCAGTCCCGATTAGCTGTGGGACCCTGACCTTGTCCAGACGTAGGACAAACCTTGACCATCTGGAGTCCCATTTTGCTGCCCTCCCCCTCCCAGGTACAGGACAGTTGCCCACAGGAGAGAACCTGTGGCTCCCAAAGTAGGCCCTGGAGCCCACATATTTGCATATTTATAACATAAATTGAATGTCTGAAAGTGCACCAAGTAGCTGGGCAGTAGTGACACACACTTTTAATCCCAGCACTTGGGAGCCAGCCTGGTCTACAAAGTAAGTTCCAGTTGTTATATTGAGAAACACTGTCTTGAAAAACTAAAATCAAACAAAAGTGCACCAACTAGGCTGGATGTCTAATAGGCTGTGAAGCAGACAGGAGCACACACATTTATGCATATATGCGGGGTCATGTCTGGATAAGTGTGTGTCAGAACAGCATTCTTCTTAGCTACCCAAGGCACATGTATCCCTGATTTAACAGAACAAAAGGAAACAGCAAGAGTTCAGGAGGGAAGCCCTGGAGGGAGGGAGGGCAGGCTCAGTGCCAAGACTCACAGCTTTTCAATGACGGGGTGCTGTCACGTCGGGTCCCTGAGATGGCTCCTCCCTCTTGGTTGGCTTTCTCCCTCTTCTCTTTCTCTGTGGGATCAAGGCATGACATGCTGAGGCCCTTACAGCACTGTCTCCAAATGCCACTGGGGCGAAGGGAAGCTGAGGGCTCTCAGGGGCAGTATGAGGAAGGACACCTTCCAGAGTTCACTTAAGCCCAAACAAAGAAGGGGGAAGATGGCCTTTGTCCAGATGGGGAAACTGAGGCTTATAGACCTGTTCAAAACCACAAGCCCAGCAGGGGATGAGGCAGGGGCCAGCTCAGGTCTGACTTCCGGCCTGTATAGTCCCTGTTCACATCACTCACAATGAATGCCTCGGAGAAAAGACTCACCTTCCTTGGACGCTTGCCAAAACTCAAAGGCAACTTTGAAGGCCTGGGCTACAGTGAGGGTGACAGCTTGTGCCTGAAAAACAGGAAATGAGGGTGGGGATGGGTGAGTGTTAGCAGCAAAAGCAAGTATGAACTGGAGGGCTGGGGGCGCCCACCCCATGACCGGCTCTGAAGGCCCAGGGGAGGACTTATGTATGGGCCCAGCTTCTCCATTTCCCACAGCAGCCTGGGGCGTAATGAAGCCACACTCTAGAGAGGCAGTTGGGGGCCCAGTGAGAGCTACACCTCCTGTCCAGCCCCTCCCCCAATAGCCATTCACCTCCCCCTTTTTCTTCCTGCCATGCATACCTAAACCAAGTGTGAGGACTTCTGGGAATCCCTCCTGGGGTATCTGAGGATTCCTTACACTCAGAGCTAGACAACAGAAGTCAGGAGTGGAAGGACCTAGCCATGCCTGAGTGAACTACAGCCAGAGAGATGGAGGCCACAGGGCATTGAGGATACCAGCAGCCGACAACTGACATCCCAGCCAGGTAAGAGGTGGCACAATCAAGTATTGGTTATGGTAAGGAAGAAAAGCCATCTAGCACTGTGAACAGCTCATGAGCAGGTGCCTTGGCTCCCCCTTCAAATCCTAGTCACATGTCACCACCTCTCTATCCTGTCCCCAGCACAGGGCTCTACAGCCCCACTCACCTCCCTCTGGAATCTGTGCATGAGAGTGTCCCTAGCTCACATGCTTATATCCCCATGTGAATGTTTCCTTTTAAGCCACAGCTCAGACAGAGCCCTCAGATGGCTGTGAAGTTGTCTCAGGTCCCAGTTGTCACACAGATCTGCTACAATCTCCTGTTAGCCCAACCTTGGGGTAACCAGCCCAGAGCTCGGAGTGCAAGCCCCAGAGAAGGGTACCACACTCAATGCCAGAACAAATCCAGGCTTAAGCGACCTCTACCAGACAACTCAACTTAATTGAGAAATAAATTTGGGGCCTCCGCCTTCAAAACTCTTTAAAAAAAAAAAAATTCACTATCTCCAAACTAACTGATCTGCGCCAATTAAACTTCACGAAGTATAAAAATCTCATTTGAATGTTTCCGTCATTTACATTTTTGATGGAAGTGAGGATGCTTTATGGTAAAACTTAAATATGGTAATTAAGTGCGAAAGTCTTCACAGCTGTTTACAATTTAAGCTGTCACGTCTGAATCAAGTTTAATAGACCCAGTTACCATTGAGAATTGCCCATGAACTAAAAATATGGGCTAATTACCAGCCAAGTCAGATCACCATACTCGAAACAAGGGTTGGTCACCCATGTGGCAGGGCTGTGGAAACACCAGTATCTCTGCCTGCAAAACCTGAGGACAGGGGTTCGTGCTGTTTACAGAAATCGTTTGTTTGCGCACACTCCTGCGCCTCTGCCCTGGTGTCCTTCCTGTACAGTGTTCATAATGAGCATGCAACCCAAGCCGAGACGTGAAGCAATGTGTGCGAGAGGCTGCAGGCCTGGCCTGGGAAGGCCTGGGGGTGACCTGCTTCCCTAGAGGCCCCAGCGGTATGAGTCACAGGGATACCTGCATTCCCCAGGGCACTGCACAGCCCTCCTGGGACTTCTGCTGTGGGGCTCTCTCATGACCAGAAGCTTCCTCTTGGTCCAGCTGTCCATGTCCCTATCTTGTTCTGCCCAAACAGGCTACGTAAGTCAAAGAGGGCCAAGAATGCAGGCCAGAGCAGGTCCCATGCTTCCCTGTTTCCCATTTTAACCTCTGCAGACTCCAGAACACTAAGGCCCACATGGAAGAAATGGCTCTGTCCCCTCTGCCAGACAGAATGGAGGTGTCTAGGACTAAGCCCACATTGGGAGCCCAGACTCCTCCACCTCCACTGCTGATCACAGAGGCCATGTTTGCTAAGCTGGGGCCTCTCACATGAGCATAGGGAACCACTTCCCTGCAGTGACCTTCTAATCATGCTCAAATAAGACCAAGAAAGGGAGTCCTTGGACTGTACTGTGGGGGACCCCAGAAGGAACCCCTTCTCCAAGCCTCTTGTTTGTCCAGCAAGGAAAGGTGGAGGCTCAGTGAGTACCATATTTGCACCGTGGGTCCAGTAGGCTGACCATGCCTGGGTACCCAATGGTGAGTCTTCAGGCCCGACACACCACGTCAAGTTGTGCTTCTCAGGCACTCAATCCCTAGGCTCTCAGCTCCTGCTCGCTACTCTACTCATCCTTTCGAGTTCAGTCTCTGCACATATCCCTAACCTCCAGATCTAAAAACCTCCACCCTAGAGCCAAGACCCAGACTCATGTCAAAGCCCACCCTTGCCTCACAGACTTATGCAGGTCCCTGTTGTACTCTGCAGAGCCTTGTCCACAAACTGGGGACAACTGACAGAAAGGTGGAGTTGAACCAAGGCTTCCCCCTCAGATAATCCCAGAGTCCCGGGCCTGAAGGGTGTCACACTGTTGGCCCACCGAGCTATGGCCTTAGAGTCCAGCTAAGGTCTTGAAGCCCTGGGAGGAACCTACACCACCCCAGAGAGACCGGGAAACCCTGAGTGACAAAGGGTAGAAGCAGGTGGAAGACAGATCACAGCCAGGTCACACAGAGAAACAAACAGCTGGGTGTCCAGAGAGAGTCGTGCCAATCACGCATGTGGCTACACTAGCCACAGCCATGGGTAGCTGGTTTCTGCTTTTCTCACCTATGCCCTCTGACCTGGGGCAGACTGTTTATAGTCCTCTGGCCCAGGCCTCCTTCTGAATGGCTGGACCTGCTCCCTGTGTTGCACAGAATCCCATCCCAGAGGGAGCTGCTTCACATGATCACGCCCTCCCCCCCCTACTAGTGCCTACAGTGCAGTAATGACCTGGGGCCAGCAGCCCTGCCTGGTTCCGTCAATGAGAAGGAAGAAGCAAACGGTGGGAACACCACATTAAGTTTGTATTTTTCGTCAATGTGGCCTCATTCATACCAATGTCTCCCACCATCTGTGGGAGCCAGGCTGTTATGGGAGAAGCCACCACTCAGAGCCCTGTAGGACCCCAGAAAGATGACTGGTAACACGGAGTCTGCAAGGAGATAGGCTTGTAAAAGTAATAGGGCCTTTGGAATGATCGTGGAGTCAATGAGATGACCTCCTCATGCTGCTGATAGGTAAACAGACCAGAGACGGGCAGGGTTCACCCACAGTTACACAGCACACCAGCTGTTCCCATTCTCCCAAATGTCCTGTGTGCAGCAACCGAGCCTCCCAGGTAGGAAGAGGGTAAGGGTATTGAGATGGGGAGATAACCCTGAATTATCCAGTGGGACCTGAGAGGGAGAGTCAGAGAAACAGCCGTGTGAGAGTGGACACTGGTGGTTTGGATTAAGAATGGTCCCCATAGGCTCATATATTTGAATGCTTAGTCACCAGGGAGGGGCACTATTTGAGGATTAGGAAGATTCTGAGGTGGTGTCTTGTTGGAGAAAGTCTGTCGCTGGGGGTGGGCTCTGAGGTTGTTGTTCTCTCTGCTTTTGGATCAGGATGTAGCTATCAGCTATTGCCCCAGTGTCTGCCTGCACACTGCCATGCTCCTCGCCATCATAACGACTACCCTTCTGAACTGTAAGCCAGCCCCAGTTACTGCTTCCTCTCACAAGGGTTGCCTTGGTCATGGTGTCTCTTCAGTGACTAAGTCAGACAGGCTACGGGAAGAGGGCACACAGGTGCCTCTGAAAATGGAGGATGGGTCCCTGAGGCAAGGACTGTGGGTAGACTGTGAAGGTACTGTAGGAGCGGAAAGTGAAGCCATGGCTCTCTCCAGGACCACTGAAGAAATGCAAACCTGCTGGCCTATTCCAGCTGCCTCTTCCCAGGACTGGAAGAGGATGAATCTGTGCTGTTTTGAGTCACTAAGTTTGTTGTCATTTGTTCCTGTGGCCCTGGGAGCCCCAGAGACCGTGGAGTTCCCGATGTGTCCTTTGATGGAGAAGGAAAAAGTCTCATCTCTGAGATGAGAACCAGGGGCCTGGGGATCAGGCTCTGAGCTGTTGGCAGATGCAGATACTGAGCCAGCTGACACTCAATCCTCAAAGGCCCCAGAAACCAAGGTGTCAACAACCACCTCAGAACAGCTCCGACTTCTCCCCAGTCACAGCACAGGCTGGAGACCACCAAGGTGCCTCCCTCACTCAGCCCCATCAGATGTGGCCAAAGGCAGGAACAGGAAGCTCTTGGCCTCTCAGGTTGTGGGTGCAGAGCCATCATGAGCAAGATTGCTGGCTTCTGGGGTGTGTCTTGTAATTAAAAGGCATAAAGAAAGGTAACAGAGACCTTAACCATTACCACCTTATGAAAGTGCCCTGGAGACTAAACAAGAAAACACTGTAAAGCCCAGCTCCAAAACAGGCCCAGAGCGGGTTGCAAAGGAGCCATTTGCCTCCGCCCACCCCCAGAAAGCCCAGTCCAAAGATATCACTTTTACCTTGCATGGGTCTCTCTGGTTTCCCATCTTCACAAGCTAATCCCTACAAGTCCTGCACCCCAGACTGTACTAACAACAAGAGTGTCACAGCCTCAAACCCAACAATCACATTACTGAGAGAAAGACACCCAGGAACTTCCAGGGGACATGGCCGATCACTGCCCACAGCCAGTCAGTCCCTGCCCAACTCCAGCCCTCACACCTGTTTTACCTCCCTGTTACCGTCCCCTCTGGGCCTGGCCCTCACTGACCACTTTCCGCTTGGTGCAGAGGAAGGCATGGCATTCCAGGCTCTCGTTGTGCGGGCTTTGGGCGATGTATGCGAACACCTTGTCATGCATCTTGTCTGCTGTGCAGTAGGAGATCCTGAAAAGCATCGAGAAGTGTCACCAGGCCTGCACTGCACCTCATCACATCTGGATGTGCCTCCCCTGAGTGTCAGAGAGTCTGCTGCCTGGTTTCCACCAGGGCACGCCTCTGCACATCTGGCCTTGGCATCCTGAGCCACCTACAGGGAGAGATTCAGACCAGGTAGGGGACATGGAGAATAAGGAAGAAGTCCCTTCCTCTTCTTTCTCTCCACGACGTACTGAGCCACAGTCCTAACAGGAACATCTGAACCCAACTGCACACCAGCCAGTGCACCAGAGCTCTGCAGATTCTTCCCTGTTTAACCTCTGAGCCATCCTCAGAGCTGGGGATCTGGGACACAACGCTGCTGGACAGAGCCAGGGTGTGAACTCACAACCACAATCCTGTGGGGTCTGCGTCAGCTGGCTGGAAGGAGAAGCAAGACACTGCCCTTCACAAACCTATACACCCAGATACCACATATTATCCAGGATCATCTCCCAAGAGACCAAGTCCTCTGGAACTGTGACTAGGAGTAGAGCTAGAGCTGGGGTCACGTGAAGACGATGCGCCCAGGAGCCCCAGTGGGTGCAGGGAAGACATCAACTTCCTATGCAGCAGTGACCTTTCAAAGCTCTGCCTCATCGTCTGCTCCTTGTCTAACCCTGCCCTGCTTCTATTTATCCTGAGAGTCAGTTAGGGGAGGGCCTGCTGGCTGGGGGTGCAGCCCAGTCAATTCACTCCTCACCAGTGCAGTCCCAACTTGCATCTCATTTCAATACCACTATTGATCACCCCAGAAGGAAAGAAGGGGGTGCCATGTCCCCAAGTACTTTTTCTATCCCAGGTATCAGGCTCCCTGCTAACCATCCCTTGCTTCTGGATGGCCATCAGCCAGGTCCTGCAAGGAGCCACCTCCCCTGGGAGGTCTTCCCAGGTTTCCCCTGGCCCACCTCCTCCACCTTCTTGGGAATACTGTCTCCTACATCCTTCCTTCCGTTCCTTTCCAGACTGGAAGTGCCCGGAGGGCAGGAGCTGGCAGGCACTTGAAAGTGCTGGCTAAGGGAAGGCGGGCAGGTGGAAACACTCAGCACACCTGTGCCTGCCACACAATGGCCTGGGACCTGGGCAGACAGATCTCCAGCTGGGATCCAAATCCCAGCTCAGCCTCTACCTCATGGTACAGTCTTGGGTCACTCCCTCTCTCGGCCTCATGCTTCTCCATGGATAACATGGGTTTGGGCTGCTTCTCCCCGGTTTTGTACTCCTACACCTGACCAGCTGAGACGAAATAGGATAGCCTGAATTCCCCGGGGCTACACCCTACCTCCCTAGGAGCAGAGAGGAAACATCTGAGAGCTGTGTTCAAGGCAGATAGAACAGGCAGGTTTCACAGCTGTGTGTTCCCAGCCTGACTTAGCAGCAGCCGAGGTGCATGGCCAAGCACAGGCCCTCTGAGGCGGCTTCGGCTGGTTAGGGGACAGCAGTGCCCATCATCACATCACAGCCCCCTGTGAGCTGTGGGTTACTTGCTAGCACCACAGTAACAGCACAGAGAGGCAGGACCTGCCCCCAGCCCATTCACAGATGGAAACTGAGATTCCCTGGACCCCAGACAGACAGCTGTTGAGCCTAGATTCAGACAAGACACTCCAATCATACTGAGTGGCAGAGCAGACATGACCACTCCCTGCTGGGCATACCTGTAAATGGACACGTTCTCAATGAGCTGGCTAGTGAGGCTGTCAGTCAGGATGATTCCCCGGGGCGACACCTTGAGAGTTACCTTCTGCAGCTTCTTCCCGCTGGCCTTGGCCTAGGGGCACACAGGGGTCAGAGGAGCCTGTCTAGTAGCCTGTACCTCACTGCTCCAAGGCCCCTCAGCTCAGACAACTGGAAGATGCCAGGGGGTGGACATTAAACCAGCACCCTGTGCCGGCTACCTTTTGTCATCTGGGAAGAGGGATTCTTGATTAAGAAAGCACAGCTATCAGACTGGCCTATAGCCAAGTCTGGGGGGGTATTTCCTTGACTGGTGATTGATGTGGGAGGGCCCGGTCCCCTGGGGAGCCGGGGTGTTACCCTGTGTAGGAGGTTCTGGATATAAGAAAGCAGGCTGAGCAAGCCAAAAAGCTTCATTCCAAGGTGTCTGCTTCAGTCTCTGTCCTGACTTCCCTCAGTTTGAGACAAACAAACCCTTTCCTACCCAAGTCACTTTTGGTCAGTGTTTTTAGCACAGCAACAGAAAGCAAACCAGGACAACCCTCCTGAGACACAAATGGACAACCCACAGCCTGAGGCCTGGTGAGAGCTGGCCCTCACAGGAGGGGATCAATACCCCCTGTCCAGGAAGCTGGGGACTCCTAGGAGAAGGGACAAGCCCAGGGACATGTAGCTGGGAGATTGCCAGCACCATGACCTAGGAACCCAGCTCCACCCACATGCCAGAGCCTGAGCTACAGTTCAAGGCTACCCTAGAGAATGGACTTAAAGGGCCCACACCCACTCAGAGGTAGGGGAAGGAAACTTTGTGGACCACACAGCCAAGCAGTGAGAACATGGTAAACCGGGAATAACTTCCTTCCCTCCTTGGGGCTAGTGAGTCACCAGGAGCCTGGTGGGGACTGACGTTGGAAGTAGTCAAGGCCAGGGTGGCCTGAAGAGGCTGCTAGCTGACCCTTATGGGCAAATACAAAGGCCATCTCCAGAAATACCTGAGCTGGACACAGGAGATCACTCACGGCATACAGATCCCACCTGGGGACAAGGGCAGCTGGGGCAGGGGGAGCTGGCCCAGGCTCCTGTTCTCCTGGTCTGGACACTCACTGTGGCCACGATCCTCTTGACAGCAGCTGCTGACAGCTCCTCCCCCTTGGGCCGCTCCACCAGTGTCATGCCAAGGTACTTGAGGCTGAAAATCATGCCCTCCAGCAGAGTTTCCCGTGTGTCCGTCCAGTTCTCTGGTAACTCTAGCACAGGACAGGTCGTCTTCAGAGTGCTGAGCAGGCCTGGCTCTCACCACCCACCTCCTCAGCACACCTACAAAGGGCCCTGGGGTTACCCCCACCCTCACCTTAGCTATTACCTCCCAGCCTACCCAAACCCTGACCAGCTTCACATACACTGTCCCCTTTCTCCCTTAGGAGCACCCGCAAGCTGCCACACACTGCAGACTGCCACTTCAAAGCCCAGGAAGTCAAACCAAGTCACAGAGTCCGTCAGTCAGTCTAGAGTCAAGACTTGACTATGCCATCTCATGTGCCCAAACTCAATGCTGAAGGTGAATGGTCCCACCTCCTTACTGAGACCTCAGTCTGATTCTTTGAGATGGGGTTATCACATTATGGTGGTTTGAAAGAAAGTAACCTCCAAAGGGAGTGGCACTATTAGGAGGTGAGGTTTTGTTCAAGTAGGTATGACCTTGTTGGAGGAAATATGTCACTGTGGGGTGGGCTTTGAGGTCTCTTATGCTCAAGCTTTGCTCAGTGTGACACTCAGTCTACTTCCTGTTGCCTGCATATCAACATGTAGCAGCCACCTCTGCAGCACCATGTCTGCCTGCAGGCTGCCATGTCCCAGCATGATGATAATGAACTGAACCTCTGAACTGCAAGAGAGCCACAATAAAATGTTTTCTTTGTAAGAGGTGCTGTGGTAGCCAGGCAGTGGTGGTGCACGCCTATAATCCCAGCACTCGGGAAGCAGAGGCAAGTGGATCTCTGTGAGTTCAAGGCCAGCCTGGTCTACAGAGTGAGTTCCAGGACAGCTGAAACTACACAACAGAGAAACCCTGTCTCAAAAAAACAAACAAACAAAAAAAGTTGTCGTAGACATGGTGCCTCTTTACAGCAATAGAAACCCTAATTAAGACACACATATTACAGATAAGGAAAATGAGGCTCAAGAGTTGAAGGCATGGGACAAAAAAGCCACCACAGTAAATACAGGTAGTTACCCACCAGATGGTACGTCCCAGCCCACACCCACTTTAGATATGGGTGGCTGTGAGGACCAGCAAAGATACAGTGGCCCAAGGAGAGGGACTAAGGTTAGAGTTAAATGATTTTACTAGCTCCACTGGGCTGCAGCCATGGCCCATGGGAAGGGCCCTCCAAGATGTCCTGGCCATTACTAATGTCAGCAAGGGCAGGGGAGAGTTGGGAAGGGCCCCACCTGGTCCCTATGCAGGAAAGAGTGCTGAGGTAAAGGGGACACCAAGGGAAAATTTGGCCATCCCTCAGTTCCTCCTTGGAGCTGAGGCTAAGGGCACCCATCACACAGTAGGAAATGGGGCCAAGCTTATCTGGGAGAGCGAGGTCACTGGGGATAAGAGCACAGCCCTGTGAGGGTCTCGCCTGTCAACCCAAAGATGCCACACCCATAGGAGGTACCCATTCCACAAGTCCTGTGCCTTCCCCACCAGCTAGGATGGAAAGGCCATGATACAGCTTAGGATACTGTCAGGAAGGGGAGGAGTCCTGGGCTTAAGGGACACTACCATGTCCCTGTCCCCTCTGGATTCCCTGTTGCTTTCTTTGGCCATGCCCCAGAGCCTTGAGTTCCAGGGACTCTATCATTTCATTCACACATGGCTCATGGCTCAGGATCTGTGTTGAGTAAGACGCTGTCCCTCACTGACACTGTGAGTGAGCATGGGTGGGGCCCTGCAAGTATTACCCCTCCTCTCAGACCCAGGTAAGAGGACTCTGCTGACTGGTCACCCAGAGCCTGACACACAGTTGGCACTCAATGTTCTCTGAGTATAGAACTGTCAGCACCAGCTATGTTTGACTTGATGCCCCCTGGGCCTCCTGAGCCCCAACTGAGATGACCCTAGACAACGTCCCATCCATTAGATCCTCCAAAAGGAAGCAGAGGGTCCCCATGGTATCCCCAGTTCTGTGTCAGGCAATAAGAACACCAGAACAACTCCCTGCTCTGGAAGAAACCAAAACTCACAGCACTATATCCAGAACATGCAGAGCCGCCATACCAAACAACAATGGAGGCACAGCAGCCTTGAAGGTCTCTCATGCCTATTCTATAGCTGAGGAACTGGTTGGAGTGCCTACTTTTGCTCCTGATCGCTGGATCACACAACTTGCCATAAGGCAAACTGCCTCCAGCCTAGTCAAAGGTCGGGAAAAGGTTCTTGGGTATTTCCTAATAATCAATGCTGCTTCCCCACAACCCAAGATACCCAGCCCACCGTTCCAACCTGAGACACATCCATGCCCAATGCCTATGTCCTTGACAGACATTGCTAATAGACAGCAGTGCCTCCCTGTTTCTCAACTGTGGCCTAAGGCAGGCAATACTAATCAATCATGAATGACCTCGTCACATTATCCATCCCTGCCTGAAGGCAGGCATCCTTCCCCTATCTCTGGGTCCCACTCTCCCATTTCCTCTGGCTCAGCCCTTTCCTGGCCCCTGTCCAAAGCCACTTCCGCTCACTTCATTCCAAAGGGACAAAGCTTGCCAAGGTCACTGGTGATCTCTTTGCTGTCAAAACAGTCTCTCCTCCTTGACCTCAAATGCTTGACATTTTTCTACATTCCTCCTTCCCTGACCTGACCTTTCTCTGCAGTACTGCCAACTTCTACACTGGCTACCAAGTCCAGCTGTGAAGACCCTCTACTCAACCCTTTAGTTGATAGGTAATTCAACTAAAGCCCAGAGAGGCACAGGACCTATGCAAGATCACACAGCAAGTCAAAGTAGAGGTGCCCACAGTGATAGCTGGGGTATCTGAAAGCTCCCCCCTCCACACACCCCACCACCACACACACACACACACACACACACACACACACACACACACCCCACAAGCTCCCACCACACAGTCAACGTCTATTTCTCAATATCCAAAATGCACTTTCCAAGCAAGGTATGGCAGTGCCTACCTGCAATCCCAGGAAGAGGCAGGGGGATTCTAAATTAGAAACTAGCCCAGATCACACCTTGAGATCATGTATAAAAAAAAAAACCTTTAATCCCAGCACTTAGGAAGCAGAGGCAGGCAGATCTCTGTGAGTTTGAGGCCAGCCAAACTACACAGCCAGAGCTACAGTGATCTTCTACGCATCCACCCTCTCCCAGGGCACCTAATCAGAGTCAGGCAAGCTATCCCAGTGGCTAAGGGCAAGGGCCTTAGTTTGACACTCTGAATGACCCTGAGTGAGATCTCCATGAGCCTCAGTTTCATCATCTATAAATTGGGGGAAAGTAGTTTGGGGCGTTGTTTACTTGATGGAGTGCTTGCTTAGCATGTGTGACGCTCTCTGGTTTCCACCCCCAATACCGCATAAACCAGGTATGATGGAGCATGCCTATAATCCTAGCACTTGGGAAGTAGAGGCAGAAGGATCAGAAATTAAAGACTGTCCTTGGCTACACATACAGTTAGAGGCCAGCCTGGCACACACAAGACTGTCTCAGAAGAGAAAAAAATAAATAAAAATGAAATGGGGGCTGAGGTGACTCAGCAGTTAAGAACACTGGTGAGCTCACAATGCTTCTTCTAACTCCAGCTCGAGGGGAATTCATACGTCTGGGCTCTGTGGGAGCCTGCACTCAGGTTCATACATACATATGCACATTATTAAAAAATAAAAATACTTACAGAATACAGGGAGGGTATGGTGACACCTGCCCCAGATCCCAATAGGTGGATCTCTGTGGATTCGAGGACAGCCTGGTCTACATACTAAGTTCCAGGCCAGCTAGAGCCCCATAGTGGGGCTGTCTCAAAAACAGGATAAAATAGAGAAAGCATACCAGGCTCACAGGGCTGTTGGGACTGTGGGTAAGATAATGAGATACGGTGTGACAAAGGGCCAGGTCCTTTGAGGCTTGCTCAATCCTGGCCATGGCTGTGCTGCCTTGAGCAGAGCTCTACCGATTCCTCCCGCAGCAGCAGCACCCATGCCCAGCAGCTGCCTTTCTCCAAAGGACCTGTCCTCAAGCCTGCTCCCCAGGCTGCCGTGCCACAAGGGCCCCTTCCCCGAGTGCTCTCCCTGCCTTTGCCTGCCTATCCTTGCAGGCCCCTCTGTGCTTTCTGGACACGTGACTTGCTCTTCACTGAGGTTCTTCGGGGCCTCTTGTGCCCACAACTTCCCCAAGAAAGAGCATTGAGACAGACAGACAGACCAGTGTGGCCTCCTACTACTGGACCCCACAAGAGCAAAGAGCCAGGGCTGCACCCCTTCCCAAGCACAGGTCTCCCAGAGGCCCTTGGGCAGATACAGGCCTGCACCCTAAGCCTTATTCCAGTCCGACTTATTTTCAGCCCTGTGATGGGTAATGACTACGCTGTTTTCATTTTGTAATTTTACAGATGACATGCTGTGGGAGTTACCTGGGGACAGACCACAGGTCCAGTCTAGCTTCAGTGGGTACCACATGCTCCTTCCTTGTTAAGGTCCCCAAGAGTGGTTAGGGCTACTTGGGCATCCTGTCCTGGCCCCCATTGCCAGGACCTGGCTGGGTGGTGTCTGAACATCACAGCTGTAGCCAAGCACAAGTAAGTGATGACAAGCCTCTGCCCAGGCACCCAGTCTGGTTCCCAAGCCTGATGAGGGTGTCTTGGAAGCAGCAGGGACATGCTAGGAGGGTACCTAAACCCTGCCCTGGCAGGAACATGACAAAACAAATTCAGTAGGTCTTTCAGGACTTCCATGGTGAAAGTTTCGGGATGTGAACAGACTAAAAACCAGGCATTGTGGCAAATGCACACCTTTAATCCCAGCACTCAGGAGGCAGAGGCAGGTGGATCTCTGAGTTGAGGCCACCCTGGTCTACAGAGTGAATTCCAGGACAGCAAGGGTTACAGGGTTACACAGAGAAACCCTGTCTTGAAATAAAACAAAAACAACACAAAGACTAAGCCAATTTCAAAAATTAAAACCACCGAGATCATTCTCAAAAGTGAATAATTAAGTGATTGCTACCTCAGCCAGGGCTTCCT